CTCTCCTCACTCCGTGGCCGACCGGGCCCGCTCCGGCCCGGCTCCCCCGTCCGACCTTCCCGCTGACCTTTCCTCTCTCCCCACTTCTTGCCTCCGCTCCCGACCGTCGGGTGAACTCGCCGGGCTCACAGATGCCTCCAGACCTCCCCACCCGGAGGCCCTCCTGCCCGAGCTGGGGCTCCTGGAGGGAAGGGGTTCCGACCCCACCGCGGCGTCCCGTGACCCCTCCCCCGTAGGAGTCAGCGGAGGAAAAGGGGCCCTGCCCGGAGCTTCCGGCGGCGGCTCGCCCTGTTGGGCCGCGGCCGCCCCATCACGGGGCCTGCTCCTCGGCCCCTGGCACCCTTGGCGGCCCGAGGGTGCTGGCGACGCGGGCTACGGAAGCCAGGAGGCTCCCCAGCGCTGCCCTTCGGGGAGCGGGCGGGGTCCTCTCCTGCCCGGTGGGGCTCAGCGGCGGGGTCGTCAGGCTGCGGGCTCAGTGACACGAGCAGGTGTAGTAACCAGAAGCAAACGAACGCACCCGAGAGCTTACCCGGTCTCCCTCTGCACACGCGTGGGGCTGCGGGCAGGCAGAGAGAGTGGGCGCTCGGGGGGATGCTCAGAATCGCCCCTGCAGGGCGGCTCGAGGGTCTGGGGTCTACGCACAGAAGGCGCGCCCTTGTGCCCACGCCTGAGATGTGAAGTTTCTGGGTGAGCGGGGTGCAAAGGGGAGAAGAGAGATGAGGGGAAGAGACGAAGGGCCAGGAAAGAAGTGGGCCTCCCGGGGCCTGCGGCGCGACTTTGCGTCTCCAGAAAAGACCGTCCTGGGGACTGAGCACCAACTGGACCCTTTCTGGAGCTGGGGGAACTGGCGCGTTTAGGAGATGTGAAGACGGGTAGCAAGGCCCGGGTGACTGTTCTGCTCCCCCAATTTCTGACAGTCTTTAACGCGAGGACACGTGGGGAGCCCCTTTTGGCTCCCCGGCTGGAATCTCAGCTTCCTCTGCGCGAAACTTCTCACGGCAGCTTCATCTGTTTGATGCCAAGGGCACTGGCTTGAGCAGCAGGCACAGCGCCGCGTCTCCTGAACCTTGAACACTATATATTGTCTCTCACGATGGACGTTCTGTGGAGAGAAGAGGACCTGCCTGCTGCTTCCAGAGAAGCCT